ATTCAGAGGTGGACTTGTTGGTGTGTTTTGGATCATTGTCCTGCTCCAGAACCCAAGTTCACACACCCTTGAGGTCACGAACAGATGGCCGGACATTCTCCTTCAGGATTTTTTGGTAAACATCAGAATTCATGGTTCCATTTATCACAGCAAGTCTTCCAGGTCCTGAAGCAGCAAAACAGCCCCAGACCATCACACTGCCACCACCATATTTTACAATTTTTTTTGTAACCTTGGCCAGTTCTGTGCCTTGCCACAATTCTGTCTCTGAGCTCTTCAGGCAGTTCCTTTGACCTCATGATTCTCATTTGCTCTGACATGCACTGTGAGCTGTAAGGTCTTATATAGACAGGTGTGTGGCTTTCCTAATCAAGTCCAATCAGTATAATCAAACACAGCTGGACTCAAATGAAGGTGTAGAACCATCTCAAGGATGATCAGAAATGGACAGCACCTGAGTTAAATATATGAGCGTCACAGATATAGAGCCGGTATCGCTCTCGTACTCGAGTGATACTGCTTGCGTCAAATATGTGTTCTGTGTGAACGGCTTCGTTTCAGTTTTGATGTAAACAAGATCTTCTCCGCATTGATGTTCTCTTTTTCCGCAATATTTTTAATGAACAATGCAGCAGCGCCGCATCTAGTGGCTTCAACAGGATAGGTTAACACAGGGGTTCTCAAACCTCTCCATGAAGTACCCCCAGCACTGCACATTGTCTCCCTATATCTGACACACCCACTTCAGGTCTTGCAGTCTCCGCTAATGAGCTGATGAATTGAATCAGGTGTGATAGATAAGGGAGACATACAAAATGTGCAGGGGGTACTCCAGGACAGGTTTGAAAACCGCTGGGTTAACAAAAACATTATAATGCAATGACTCTTACATCGTCATCGCATCTTGTGTGCCACTGATAAGGCTGCCTCCTTAACGCCTACCTAAAATTCAACGTTTTTGCATTCGAATGTGGATTTTTATTTTAAATTCGACGAATATTCGAAATTCAAATTTTTTTGACAGCCCTAATATATATCAAAAACAAACGTTAATATAGTCAGCAGTAATATTATGTATAAATATGCACCTTACAAAAAATACAATAAAATGAAATACTTATAATAGCCAAGAGACCAAAACATGCTGGCTCTGATGTAGTCAGTCGCAATATTATGTACATAAATAAATATGCGTTATAAAAATAAAAAAAAAACTCCATAAATCACTTACCAGTCCAAGCAGGCAGCGGACCTCATAAATTGCACCGATGCAGCCTAGGAAGCCCATAAGCATTGACAGAGATCCAATCCCGATCAAGATGTAGGCGCCAACTTTCAGCGTTGTGGAGGACTCCTCTGCATGAACAACAAAGACAGAAAACAATAGTCACACTCTCTGACAATGCCAACTTAATAGAAAAAGTACATTAAAAAAAACCTTCAGATGTTTAGATGCTGAAAATGAATCAAGATCACTTCTCTTTAGTGATTATTATTTGATCGAACACCACAAACCCAATTAAAACCTCACTAGCAAAACAGCCCTAATTTTAAGTTTAGGAGATGCTGAAAATGAAACTGAGGTTGTGAGGAAAGGGGAGTGTACATGGCAGATTTTCAGCGCTCATTTCTTTCTCTTCTGCAGCTACAGTCTTGCTTCAGGCTTTGCAGCTCAATTTCAGACGTGTGCAGAGGAAGATGTCACTTAGACATGAAAATACTGTCTAAAAAAAGGTGTTGGTGTAGTAAGTGAAAATAATTACCATGTCATAGCACTTCTCTTATCAATATTTTTAAACAGTGTAACCTAGATTTATGCCAACTGAATTTTGTGTGTCTATTAATGGTATTTGCAAAGCTTTCAGACAGATTAATATTAATTTCACTATTTGAGTAAGACCAAGTAAAAATTCAAATAAACTTTTATCACTTCTATCAGTATGGCAAAACACAACAAGCCTTCTTGGCTTCTGTAGTTGCTCAGTATATAACTGTGGTTTTAAGATTAGTAATTTGGAAACTTTTGTCATCATGCATTCTAATGTCGAAGTCCCTTATTAAAGTGGTACAGCAATTGGTGCTGAGCTGTGCAGCTTACGTGGTTAACAAGTTGTCCTTGCTATCCTTAGCTTCATACAAACCAGTAGCATTTGAGTAATTAAAGATCTGAAACTAACAGTCAAGAGATTGAAAAGTATAGTCTGCACAAAACAGACAATGAGTGCATAGCCTCTTGCAATTCACAGCAGAAATGAGTTTGGCTGCTTATAGTTGTTTTTCAAGATTCTTTAATAGATAGAGGACAAAGAGATGTGGCTTGTGGCTCTGAAGAACCATCAAGTCCTCTATAACCATGTGATCCTCAAAGGAACCACAAACATATCTCTAGCATGTGTGTAGAAAGTAGAGATGTCAATTTAACATACTGATTTAGTGCAATTTATTATATATATATTTTTTAATGTTGTGTGTAGATAGATAGATAGATGTTCAAAAGTGAGAGGGAGAGAGAGGGGGAGATATTCATTTATTCAAAATAGAGTAACAGTACAAGTCTTTACTATCACTTAAAAAAAAAAAAAAAAGTAACATATCCTTGCTGAAAAAGTATTAATTTCTTAAAAAAAAAACAAAAAAAAAACCCTTGGCTACTGACCCCAGACTTTTAAATGGTTGTGTATATTGTTAAAAGGATTTCTATTTTGAATTAATGTCTTTCATTAAGTATCCTGAAAAAAAGAATCACAAAAAAGGAACAAGACTTGCGTTTCTTCATTCTTTTTTTTCATTAATTAATCAGCATATAATTTTATTGATTGACAGATCTAACAGTAAAATATTCACAGCCTTTCTTCCAATATTCAGTCCGTCAGTACATAAATTAATCTAAAACAAACACCAGTTGCCAAAACTATGAGGTAATTCTGCCCTGGTACGACCTTAAAAGCAAAACTGTGACATCACGGTTGTGACATAACTATTTTGTTTTATAAACTGAGAATAATAAATGGTCGGTAGATTACATTTCAACTCAAGCAAGAATTCTGCATCACATTTCAAAACATATGCTTCCTGCCTAAAGCATAACATCTGGTACATTTAAAATTTCCATAACCTCACCGTGTGTTTGCTCATACAGGAGTTGTCACGATGTTCTCAAGGTAGGTACTGTTGCAAACAGTCCTCTACATCTGCAAAAATGCAGTCCCAACAGCCCCGGCAGTGGTTTCTACTGGAAAAATAACCTTGGAAGGATACGATTTTATGCCATCAGCCGAAAACATTTGCTTTGACCTTTCAAGCACCATTTATATGCTATGAAAGGTAAATACACCAAAGAATTATATATTTTATTTGTCATCGATATTAAAGCGCAAGTACTTATTTCTTGCATTTAGATTTAACTTTAGAACCCTGCACATAGTTGGACATACCAGTCTCCAAACAACCAAACACTGATTCATGCTGTAACATGTTCTGGGTGTTAAGTTGTATAACTCTGTTGCACAAATGAATGTGCCATTTGAAAAGGAAATAAAACCTTTTTGTAAAGAATAGGGATGAGATCACAACAATCTGGATAATGAGAAAACTCCTAAAAAGAAAACATGGCTTTTATAGCCATGCAGTTGTGTGGAAGTCTATTAAAAACAACCTGGGAGGAAGGGAAGAAAATACAGCTGAGATCAGAGAACACACCTTCCCGTTATTTTCGAGCTCAATAGGGCCCTAAACCACAGACTAACAAAGTCAACAAACAAACTCCTTGTGCAGTGCAGTGTGGGAGCGACCATGACAGGACCCTTAGAGTAAAGGACGGCACTACTGGACCTTGTGCTATCAAAAAGCCAAGGGCAAAATTGAGGTTCTCCAAGTATGAGGATATCCTAAAATATTCCCTGCTATCTCCAGATGAACAGCTAAATCTAAAAATTAAAAAAAATAAAAATAAATAAAATAAAAAAAGTTTCTAAAATGGTCACGATAACAGAGACTCCCAGCGCTGCGATATCTGGAGACGCTGGAATAGATAAACAGGGGACAGATGTAAAATATGAGGTGAGATGGGAGAGGAAAGAATGGCGGTGTGACTAGCTTGGCAAAAAATTTTTGAGCTGGTGAACTTCACAAAAATATTCGCTTGCAGTAATTTAACAGAGCATGTGCTATATATAGACTTCTCTAAACTTCCGTCTTGAGTGAGGGAATTGGTCTTATGAAAATATTTAAAGGGCTCATATGACGTTGCTAAAAATAACATTATTTTGTGTATTTGGTGTAATGAAATGCGTTTATGCGGTTTAATAACACATTATTTTCCACATACTATACATTATTGTTTCTCCTCTATGCCCCACCTTTCTGAAACGCGTCGATTTTTACAAAGCTCATCGTTCTGAAAAGCGAGGTGTATGCTGATTGGCCAGCTATCCAGTGCGTTGTGATTGGCCGAATTCATCAAACGTGTGATGTATATGTTACGCCCCTTACCCTACTGTGATGCCTTGTCCCGGCGCGACGAGACAAAACCAATAAAACCCATTACAAACGAGGCATTTGTTGCATCCAGTGGGGACATAATTACTGATTATAATGACTTATACTGTCTTTTTACACATTGCGTTGCTTCGCGCCGCGTAAACATAAAACCATGTCTGCATTTATGATCAGCGAAATGACAAACAACAAGCGCTACTCTACACTGCTCAAAAATCGCATTTGAATCATCAGTGGCAAATTCTTTAAATATGAAAACGTACTTAAAGACTGAGTCAGAACAGTCGGCATTGTAGTCTACTCTACCAGGATCAGGAAATAGTCCTCAGTAAAATGCATTGCACACACACAAATATTTGGTTTGAACTGTTCTGGAACAGTGTTGTAAATACAACTTAACCACTGATTTCTAGTTGTGTCCTCTTTTGGAAGGCCAAACAAAGTAGCTTAGCTTTCGCAATGAAACACACAGCGTCTCCACGACATGGTGGCGGCGGCAACAATACTGCAGCGAGAATAAAAGTTACGCCTTCTTTCTTTGCGTGAACATTTGGGCGGCGTTATGCAAATCTTCCCACACTGTGACATAGACATGTGGGGGCGTGTTTAAACGAGGCATTTTATGAGGGCATGGACGAGTCTTAACTTTTAAATAGAATATCTCTTTGGGTTTGAGACTTTAGTCTTTGCAACTTTAGGGATCTAATCTATTCACTTACAGCTTGTAACACTCCAAAGACAAAGGAAAACTTGAAATCGCATCATATGACCCCTTTAAGTAACCAGTTTTGGTGCCAATTCACTATTTGGACAAAAAAAAACTAAGACATATCTCCAAATATATATATTTTTTTATTATATGGCCCTCTGAAATGCTCGATTCTGATTAGTCAGTCGTGACTAGAGGACTACAGTATTAATAGTAGGCCTACAGTAATATTGTTGAAGAGTTTGTCTTGGCAAATTGCTGTTGCTAAAATTATTGTTTTGTACAATGTAATGGATTATATGATAATAAACCGGTATGATTTTAAAACAGTTTCTTCTCAAATCAATATATCACGTTCCTGCCATTATTTATGGTGAAGAGCTGTAAAATAGATGATACAACTGTACATTATCCCTTAAATGTCCATCTTGTTTGTTCATCTAGACTCAAAGCTGCTTGCTAGGAACTGTATTTCTTCATGGAAGTTTTACGTTTAATGAGCAAATAAAATTTAAACTCAAATCAATATAATTTGTCTAATTATTTACTCATCTCACAACAACATTTTCCTGCTTGTATTACTCAGCTCTTAATCTCAAATAAGTAAGTAATTATCCTTTACTTACATTCCAAAACAGAAAGTCACACTGGATTGAGGGCGAGTAAACTATGAGAATTTTAATTTGTGGTTCAACAATCCCTTTAAAATGGCCTAAAGTTTAGTTCAGTGCCAAATCTGTGCTGAACAGTTTGGAAGCCTTAAATAATAAATCAAGAGGATTTACGCTGGTTTTCCACCCTCATTTTCCTGTTCCACTTTCCTGTCTCCGTGGCTTTGGCTGTCCAGACAGAGGCAGTATGGGTACGAGTTTGATTCTCCATAAATCATACAGTTAATCTCTGTTTGGCTTTTGTATCTCATTCATTTAACATTTCTCTCTTCCCTTATTTTGCTTTCGCTCTCTGTTTAAACCTTCTCCGATGAGCTTCAGATGGTTTACTTAACATCTGTGCGAGCGCATGTGTGCATGTATAAACACAGAGAGTGCAGCATAGGAGGGGGTTTGTGGAAAACTTGGTTAATGGCAAAAAAATGAAAACTCCCCATGCCAAATGCACGAATAGCAGCTGCTTTCACTGTGCTTTCCCATGTATATCAAATAAACACCAGTATGAACTCAAGAGGATGGAAAAATGTGTAATCAGCGACATATTGCTCTGACTCACTGATAACGGTTAACTTATTCTGGTCTGTAGTATATGTCCTTTTGTGACTCACTGATAATGGTTAACCGTCTACCAAACCAGAATAAGTTTGGAGTTACTAAGAATTTTAAATGTTTTTGAAAGAAGTATCTTATGCTCACCAAGGTTGCATTTATTTGATCAAACATATAGTAAGAACAGTAATATTCTGAAATATTATTACAATTTAAACTAATGTAATTTATTCCTGTGAGTGATGGTAAATCTGAGTTTTCAGTGTATATATATATATATATATATGTGTGTGTGTGTGTGTGTGTGTGTATATATATATATATATATATATATATATATACACACACACACACACACACACACACACACATGTATATATAAAAGTATGATCAAATATAAATTAAATTTAAAAAAACATGTAATTAAAAATGTAATTAAATTGAGCGAATTCAGGTTAACTAATGTAATTTATTCCTGTGAGTGATGGTAAATCTGAGTTTTCAGTGTATATATATATATATATATATATATATATACACACACACACACACACACACACATATGTATATATAAAAGTATGATCAAATATAAATTAAATTTTTTAAAAAATGTAATTAAAAATGTAATTAAATTGAGCGAATTCAGGTTAACCTGTACTATGTGAACAGAACAGAACAGAAACAGACCTGAAGTAATGATACAACTAGGAGAAAAATAATTGCGATGTATGAACTTCTGATTGTCCAGCATGAAAACATTTGTGCTGCCATCATAAATCTTTGCATTTCTGACCAATGGCAGCCTGGAGATGGTAACCTGTTTTAATAAGACATACTCTCAGGCACACCATTACATACATCAGAACAGGAAATTAGGTTGGTGTGTTTGTACTTACGCAAAACCGTGATGAAACTCTGGTTATCCAGGATGACCCATAGTCCAAAGCCCATGATTACAGCTCCAAAAATCTACAGGGCAAAAGAAACAGGCATGAACAAACAAAGTGTGCTTGTCACCTTCTTGACCCGTTTGGTTCCTCAGAGCTGATCTTAGTTTAAACTGTGACTGGACTGTGGATAAGAGCACTGTGCTGCTGCCGCCATTAACATACTCTAGATAATTGCTAAACAGAGAAAGGAACTCTCCACTGAACTGAGTTCTCATGCACTCCAGACCCAAAGTTCAAAACGAATGGGTCCGATGTGTCCTCTAAATGAACTGGATCAGAGAATTTAAATTTCCTCTTGTCAGGGGGCAGTTCCCCTGTATCAGTCTGGCATCTGTGGCTTGTCCTCTATACCACTATGGAGAGGAAAGTAGTAAAGCAGCAGGCTTCTGTACAATTAAAGGGTCTTCAGAAGGAAAAATCAGAGAGACTCACACACATGCTTTTCATTAGCCTTTGACCCTTGAGACACAACAGGTCAAGTTGAAGGTTTCTAAAGAATTGCAACCGAGAGCAAGCCTGCTTCCTTACTAAGTGTGAACAATTTCCTAACAGGGATTTCCTACATACACCTACACCACACTGCTGGGTATTTCGGTTTTTGCCAAATAATAATGCAAATACATATACAATGGCATGACAAAATGGTTTTAAAAAAAGTAAAATAAAATGTTAATATACTATACTAAATGTCATCAATATACTCTACTAATAAATATATTCAATAATGAATTGCTATAATTTGTATTTACATGTCCACATACGCCATGCCCAAATGTGAAATGTGGCAAAAGGGGAATAAAAAAAAAAAAAAAAAGAGTTTCAACTCATTAAGGGGATACTTAACCTTTGGTTCTAAAAGCTTAGCTAGCTCATACTCACTGCTGAACCACTTGTTACTTATGCATAAATACAGTTATATTATTAGAAACATATCTTAAAGAAATAATTGTAAAGAAAAAAAAAAGAAAAAAAAATTGACAGTAAAACAGCCTTTTACTGGTTCCTTTAAAGGCTGTCTTTTTAATTCCAGTAATGTAGTCACTTTCTGTTTGTTGCTGCCGCGTTTTGAGTTTGAGCTCAATCAAGTTAATTCTTTATCATCTATTTTTTATCCTAAAATCAATTTTATACACCATTTTTGTTTCTATAATGTGTGTATATATCCCCTATCGTATTCTACAACAAAAACAATCAAGAGCGCCTTTTTATCACTAGTTTTATTTTATTTCCCCGAGTCCGCTATTAGCTTATAGCCCGTTAGCATCGCCAGCGTGGTTGCCGCTAGTCTCAGCCTCAGACGTCACGCCCACGGACCGTTGGCTGAACAGCCATCAGTCTGAAGGTCTGGCTACGCGAGACTAGGTTGCCACTAATCTCGCTTACATTGCTAATACTCCATTCACACACACATTACCATTGTTTTACTCGCTGTTACTTGCTTTAATGGCGGATGTGTGTCTACCTTTGAGTGCAGGTGAGGACACGTTCAAGCTGCATTTGGTGCAGCTCGAGCTGGAGACCGTGGAGAAGAGGGCCCAGCTGAGAGAGCGGAGAGCCGCGCTGGAAACATCCTGGGCTGACGCTCACAAGTACGGGGTAAGTATACAGCGCCTTGCTAACTCTCCCACCACCTCTACTCCGTGTGTTTCTCTGCAACCAGGACGCTATCTGTGACCGTCGGAGACTCCATCATCCGGCACATCCGTGCTATGATAGCTGAAGGTAATGTGCACACTCACTGTTTCCCTGGTGCTCGTGTTCTCGATGTTTCTGCGCAGATACCCGCGATCCTGAAGGGCGACGAGAGCATCAGCACAGTCGTGCTGCACGCAGGGGTTAACGACACCTAGCTACGGCAGACAGAGACACTGAAGAGGGACTTCAGGAGCCTGATCGAGACGGTGCACAGCACATCGCCCGCGACGACGGTTATCGCGTCAGGATCACTTCCCACATATTGACGAGGACACAAAAGTTTCAGTAGACTTTTTGCTTTAAATTAATGGTTATTGTCATGGTGTAAAGAACAGAAACTGCCCTTTGTAAATAATTTGAATCTTTTCTGGGAGTGACCTAGGCTTTTTCGCGCTGATGGCCTGCACCCCAGCAGAGTCGGAGCGGAACTCCTGTCAGACAACATCTCCAGGATGCTACGCTCCATATAACTAGTAAGCCAATTCTCAAATAACTGCTATGATGGCTTTTGTTCTACCCGCTTAAATGATAGAAGTACTTGCAAATAGTGAGGTCAAAATCTAAATTTAATGCAGGATGTAGAAAAAATGTGATTGTGATTAAACCAGAAAAATGCAAAATAAATGAACAAAAACTATTTTTAAAGTTTGGGTTCCTAAATATTAGATAATTCGCACCCAAATCAGTTATTGTAAATGAAATGATCACAGATAATAGTTTTGATGTAGTCTGCTTGACTGAAACTTGGCTAAAATCAAATGATTATATTGGTCTAAATGAGTCTACGCCACCAAGCTATTGTAATAAGCATGAGCCCTGTCAGACTGGCCGTGGCGGCGGTGTTGCAACAATATATAGTGATATTCTTAATGTTACTCAGAAAACAGAATACAGGTTTAACTAATTCGAAATACTTCTGCTTAATGTTATGCTGTCAGATATGCAAAAGAAATCTATCGTATCTCTTGCTTTGGCTACTGTGTATAGACCACCAGGGCCATATGCACTATGAAGATTTCCTCTCAGACCTATTGGTTACTGTTGATAAAGCGCTAATTGTCGGCGATATTAACTTTCACGTTGATAATACAAATGATGCATTAGGACTTGCATTTACTGACCTAATAAACTCTTATGGAGTCAAGCAAAACGTCACCGTGCCCACTCATCGTTTTAATCATATGCCAGATTTAATTATATTGCATGGAATTGATCTTACTAATATAGATATCGTACCTCAAAGTGAGGATGTTACTGACCATTTCCTTGTATCGTGCATGCTGCGTATTACTGATATTAACTATATGGCTCTGCGTTATTGTCCAAGAAGAACTATTGTTCCAACCACTAAAGATAGATTCAGAAATAACCTGCCTGATTTATCTCAACTGGTCTGTGTACCCATAAATAAACATGAACTAGACAAAATAACTAGCAACAGGGACACTATCTTCTCTAATACATTAGAAGCTGTTGCCCCCATCAAATTGAAAAAGGTTAGAGAAAAACGTACTGCGCCATGGTACAACAGTAATACCCATTCTCTCAAGAAAGAAACTCGTAATCTTGAGCACAAATGGAGAAAAACTAACTTGGAAGAAGAAACTTCTTCAAACTATTGAGAAGAACCGCTTCTCAATATTATTAACTCGTCGTTATCTTTAGGTCACGTCCCAAAACCATTCAAGCTGGCGGTTATTAAGCCTCTTATTAAGAAACCACAACTAGATCCTAGTGAACTGGCAAATTACAGACCCATTTCAAATCTTCCATTTGTGTCTAAAATTTTAGAAAATGTTGTGTCTGCTCAATTGTGCTCCTTCCTGAAAAAAAATTATGAAGAACTTCAGTCAGGTTTTAGGCCCCACCATTGCACAGAAACTGATCTTGTTAAAATTACAAATGACTTGCATTGCGTTTCTTTACTAGTTTTACTTGTGCTGCGTTCGACACCATAGATCAGGACTTACCCATAGATCGATTACAAAACTCAAGGGCAGGCTTTAAGATGGTTTAGATCCTACCTGCCCGATCGCTACCACTTTGTTTATTTAAACGGGGAGTCATCTCAATTATCACCAGTAAAGTATGGAGTGCCACAAGGATCTGTCCTAGGTCCTCTGCTATTTTCAATATACATGTTGCCCCTTGGTAATATTATTAGAAAATACGGGATTAGTTTACATTGTTATGCTGATGATACTCAACTATATGTCTCAAAGACCAGATGAAACTTCTAAATTATCTAAGCTAACAGAGTGTGTTAAAAATGAAAAAGATTGGATGACCAATAATTTTCTCTTATTAAATTTGGATAAGACATAGATATTACTTATTGGACCAACAAACAGTACACAGAATCTCTTGGATTACAATTTGCAACTAGACGAATATACTGTTACTTCCTCTACAGTCAAAAATCTGGGTGTTATATTAGACACCAACTTGTCTTTTGAAAATCATATTTCCCATGTTACAAAAACAGCATTTTCCCCATCTTAGAAACATTGCCAAGCTACGAAACATGTTACCCGTTTCTGATGCAGAAAAGCTAGTTCATGCATTCATGACCTCTAGACTGGACTATTGTAAAGCATTGCTAGGTGGTTGGCCAGCATCCTCAAACAAGCTACAGGTAGTTCAAAATGCAGCGGCTAGAGTCCTTGCCAGGTCAAGAAAATATGATCATATTACCCCAATTTTACAGTCTCTGCACTGGCTATCTATTAAGTTCCGTATCAGTTACAAAATATTATTACTTACCTATAAGGCCCTTAATGGGTTAGCTCCTGCGTGCCTAACTAGTCTTCTACCACGCTACAATCCATCACACTCCCTAAGGTCGCAAAACTCTGGACTTTTGGTAGTACCTAGGATAGCAAAGTCCACTAAAGGAGGTAGAGCTTTTTCGCATTTGGCTCCCAAACTCTGGAATAGCCTTCCTGATAACGTTTGGGGTTCAGACACACTCTCTCGGTTTAAATCTAGATTAAAAGACACATCTCTTTGGCCAAGCATTCAAATAATGCATCTCATAATCTTGTACTGCACTTATATCTGATCAAATGCACATTACTATTCTTCAGCTTGGGTTAAACAAATCAATTTTGCTTGGTTGGAACAGCAGCTACGCTAATTATGTCTCTATATTTTTCTGTTTCTGCCAAGGGATTAACATCCCGTGGTAACTAGGATTTACATAAACTTCAGTCTGGATCCAGAACACCTGAGAAGAGATGACCCCTCAGAGGACCTCAGATGATGCCAACCCTGAAACAACATGCAGAACTGCCAAATTTTGCTATAAGTTTGATTGCAACATATAATAATTGCTGTTAATAGTGTTCATCGTCTGTTTGATTACATCTTTAATTGATTTTTCCGTACATTTCTGCCATATGTACATTAACTGACAGTCACCACTGATAAGCTACTACTAAATATATTGTAGAAACTTAATTTTCTGTTAAGCTGCTTTGCAACGATTTGTATCGTGAATAATTTGTATCCATGTAATAATTTGAGCAGTCAGTTTTCTTTCAATGTTTTGAAACGGCAGCATTTTTTTCCAAGCACAGAGGTCAGAAACTTTTTACATAAAAACATTTCCTTCTAGACTTCCCAAAAGGTTCCATTTTCACTTCTCAGTAGTAACCTCCCTTTTAACCTGTGTTAGCTCATAGTAGACCTGAAGACCAGGGCCTGTATTCTTAAAGATTCTAAGAATTCTTTCAGAGAGCTCTTAATTTAGCTTAAAAATTTCTACCTAGGAGTCTTAGCTTAAAAGTGATTCAGGACCAATCTGAGAGCAACTCTGAGCGAGGAAAAGACAAAAACGTTTATTTTAGTGAGGAGGCGGGGCTGACCCCATTGCTAGCTATGACATGGCCTTTTGAAGACTGTGATTGGTTGGTTGTCCAAGGAGGAAATAAAAGAGCGCTTTTAAGAGTAGGGTCTATTATAAGCCTTCACTTTGAAATTAAAGGAGTCATTTTTCCTGTTTTACCATACTCTCTCTCACACACACACACACACACACACACACATACATACATACATACATACATACATATATATATTTTTTTTTTACCATGCTGTCATACTTAACCTATTTTACAGGAAATGAACAGCGACACAATAAGGTTCTGAAAGTGCTGTAATTGTGTGATCACTTTGCTCATAGAAGGCTGTGACAGACCCAAATCATCACTGCTGCATAGTTGCATTTTTCCAGTTGCCAAATATGTTAATGTAGTGATTACTTCCATTTCTGGCACTATGGCATTTCTGCACGGTGTCAGAGATGTTAGCATGTCTCTAATAATATTGGTCACAAACATGATCCCTGCACGATCTAATGTGTAGTGTCTTATTCAGTTACTGTCATGCATTGTGCAACACATTTCCTCTCCCTCTTCATGTTTAGTCCATTTTCTCCACTGCTAAAGAAACTCTTAAGCCTCTTAAAAGGGGTCATATGATGTGATTTAAATTTTTCCTTTCTCTTTGGGTGTTACAAGCTCTTGGTGCATAAAGAAGATCTGTAAAGTCGCAAAGACTAAAGTCTCAAATCCAAAGAGATATTCTTTATAAAAGTTAAGATTCAACCACGCCTACCTAAAACGGCTCATTCTAACACGTCCCCACATGTCTACATCACGATGTGGGAAGATTTGCATAACACCGCCCAAATGTTCACGCAAAGAAAGAAAGCATAACTTTTATTCTCGATGTAGTATTGTTGCTGCCGCCATGTTGTGGAAATGCTGTGTGTTTCATTGTGAAGGCGAATCTGCTTTGTTTAGCCTTCCAAAAGAGGACGATATCCGCCATCCGATATCCGTGCTGGTTGCTGAGGAAATACATCAACTTCGCGCTGTGAATCGCCGGATCGATTCGGAGTCCAGCCCAGGGTCGTCACATGTGGTTGCCGCTGCTCACTCTAGCCCGCCGTGTGTGATGCGGTGTTTCGTTGTGAAAGCGAAACTACTTTGGCCTTCCAAAAGAGGACACAACTAGAAATCAGTGGTTTAGTTGTATTTACAACACTGTTCCAGAACCGTTTAACCCAAATATTCAGATGTGTGCAGCACATTTTGCGGAGGATTGTTTCCTGTGAGAGTAGCCTACAATGCCGGTGTTTGTTTCTATAAAGTGGGGCAATTCCAACTTTGCAAGGACAGTCTGGCGCTTCTGATTCACAGCCTGTAAGTAAGTTTTCTATATTTAAAGAGCTTGCCACTGACGATTCAAACTAGGGCTGTAGCTATCGATTATTTTAGTAATAGAGTATTCTACAGATCATACCATCAATTAATCGGATAAGAAGTAATTTTTCTTTATTAAAGAGCAACACTAAATATACAAGAGATAATAAGATAGAATTTTTCTTTTTAGAAAAATTAATTTTATTGCTGAAATTGCATCCATTAATAACAGTGAAAACTAAACCCATTTAAATGCATTTAATTGGCAAATTGCATTCAAAATGCAAATACAAATATCAATAAAAAAAAATAAAAAATACAAATCAATTTCACATTACTTTAAAAAAAGGTAAATGGTACAAACTAAAACTAATGCATAAATGCAAATAATAGTAATAAAAATAATACCTAAACATTGCATTTATGTCGTGCAACTTAACTTTCAAGTTCAGCCTAACTAAAGCTCAAGCATGACATAAGCCTTTACGGTCTTCTTGGAAGGCTTTGTGGTTTTTGTGAGAGGCAAACATTTCTAAAAATAAATAAATAAATAAATGGTCTCTTGTTCTTGAAACAACAACAAGAGACCATACACAATTTTTAAACACATTTTTCTGCAACATGAAATTACAGTTATTTATGTCCCTATACGTCCTGCTGTGTGTGTGTGTGTAAAACTTGTTTTTGATATCCTTCATATTCTGTGTGCGGGACAGTTCATTAAGTTTAAATTGATTTTTACATTTTATGGGCATTTTTACCTTTATAAAGCCTTTTTTTTCCCTAATAGTGTGCATCATCTTTTGAGTCAAATTCTTACATTTAATCAGTCAGTTAGAATAAAAGACATTTGGGCTGTTACCAAGCAAATTATATCAGTATCAAAATTCATCTTTGCAATGCAGAGGAAACACAGAAGCTGCATGGGATGAATTTCCCACACAGAGGGACATGAATGCAATTAACCTGCAATTACAAATGCACAAATAATATTTTGTCATTTTAAACATAAAACATTGAATACTGATATTTTAAATTATTTTAAAATGAAAAGATACTTTAAATGTGAAATTAAAACCACCAGTAGGTGGCAGCAAGTCACTGTTAAGAAGTGAGTCATTGCGATTGATCTGAATCATTTAAACGGTTGATTCATTTAGGAACGAAACGCCGTCATGTTGCAGAGATGCAAAACAGCGCTGTGGCTGTGTTTGGAATTTTTTGTTGGCAAAATAAAGCACAAACAGGCAATATAGTGTCTAAAACGTAAGTTTCATAATATTACCTTGTTTATTGAACTGTTGAATAAAATCACATTTGTAATCATGCTGATTTTAGAGGTAAAAACTGGCACTCTTCGTGTGATATTGACTAACTAACTTTCTGTGGTATTTTTATGCACAATAGCGTTTAGTCTTTCACAAGACATAGCTAACGTAGGGACATTATAACTAGCCACCATATTGATTTACAGTCTTAAATATGTCCAGGGCTTTTTTTCTTTTTTTTGTCTGGTCCCTGTTTTTATACAGTCTATGGTCTGGTCCAGCGTTTATCGGGTTGTGCGTCAGCATTAATGGTCCTTGGGGAAACACGGTGTTGCGTGATTTTTTGTATTCGAGTTACTCGAGGTATTCGAGGAATCGTTTCAGCCCTAATTCAAATGCGAGTTTTGAGCAGTGTAGAGTAGCGCTTGTTGTTTGTCGTTTCTCCAGACATGGTTTTATGTTTACGCAGCATGATATGCAACGAGTAAAAAGACAGTACAAGTCATTATAATCAGTAATTATGCCCCCACTGGATGTAACAAATGCCTCGTTTGTAATGGGTTTTATTGTTTTTGTCTTGTCGCGCCGGGACACGGCATCACAGTATGTTAAGGGCATAACATTTCCATCACAGGCTTGAGGTATTCAGCCAATCACAACGCACTGGATAGCTGGTAAATTAGAGCACACCTCGTTTTTCAGAACGATGAGCTTTGTAAAAATCGACGCGTTTCAGAAAGGCGGGGCATAGAGGAGCAACAATAATGTACATTATGTGGAAAATAATATATTTTTTTTAACCTTAAACTGCATAAACGCATTGCATTACACCAAATACACAACATAACGTTATTTTTAGCAACGTCATATGACACCTTTAAAAGTCCTCGTCTGTACTCCTAACAATTTTGGACCTTAAGACCTCTTATAAGGGTTAAGATGCTTTCTGAATTACATTTTTCTTTACTAGAATCTTTTCTTTAATTGTAAGAGGAAACACCCACATTTCTAAGAATTTTCTTAGAATTTTGTTACTACACTCTTAAAAATAAAGGTGCTTCACGATGCCATAGAATAACCTTTTTGTCTAAATGGTTCCATAAAGAACCTTTAACATCTGAAGAACCTTTCTGTTTGACAAAAGGTTCTTTGTGGCGAGAGGTTCTTCAGATTACAAAAAGGTAAGAAAGAGATGGTTCTTTAAAGAACCTTTGACTGAATGGTTCTTCGTGGAACCAAAAATGGTTCTTCTATGGCATCGCTTGAAGAACCTTTTGAAGCACCTTTATTTTTATGAGTGTAGGAGCAACTCTTAACACTAGGACTTTTCATGGATACGGGCCCAGAGCTAATGACAGGGAGCCACATGGCTACTGCGCTGAACTCAAGGCCAGTGTTTCTGCTGAGACACGGATTAAAGGTGTAGGAGTGTGTACACTTACAAAGAAGAGGAGGTTGAACAAGAACAGGAAGTACTTGGTGGCGGCAATGCATCCTTTCTCCATGACTGCTGCTCTGTAAATAAGAGAGGAAATCTCATCAAAACTGTGAGAGACATGAAGAACACCAATGCTGATGGAGAAATCTCAGAAGAACTGACACTGAGCAGATGAAGTTTTGGACATGACAACAATAACTAAAGAGTTTCTCTCAGCAAGTCGCTAAAAACAGTCTGCAGGTGATAATATGTAAGCTCTCACCGAAACAAAGTGGAAAAAACCTGCTCTATAAATCACAGCGGTTACTTATTCTGGCCTGGTTGATTAGTTTCAGTTCCATTAATTAATTATATTAATATCACTGTAAAAAGTTTTTTTTAGGGTTTCCAGTTATGTTCCAGTGTAATGTAAATTTTTTTTAAAGATTCTTAGTTGATTAGAAAGTAGGGTTGGGAATCGAAAATTGATTCCAGAATCGGATACTTAAGGTCAGGAATCGGATACTTGTTGTCAAATTAAAATTTCTATTACGCCTATCGATTCCCATGCGCTTTTTTTTTTCTTCATCTGTGAGGACCGGACCTAGCGATCTGCCAGGACCTTGCTCGCTAATCTAAGCGCTCCAAAGTGTGGCTATATTTGCGATCAGAAGCCAAAAAAACTAAGTATAATGTGATAGCTAAACATTTTGCAAGAAAGGTATCACCACCAACATGACAAAGCACTTTAATTTAATACATCGTTTAAGATCGCGAACACGATTGAAACCCCTACGTGATTCTATTCCTAAATTACAATAATTTGTCAGTTTTATTCCTCAAACTTTGACGTGTGCGATCAATGTTGTGATCACTTGGTTTGTTCGTGCAGCGTATGATCACACCAGTGTGATTTGAACATTTAAATTGGTGTTCGCACTGCCATTGACCTAAAGAGAGCAGCTGTCATCTGTGTCATCATTTTCATGAATGAAACAGCTTCACAGCATCATTATTTCTGTTATAAATATTCAAATCACAGACGTACTAGGATAAAAAATGTATAGTTCAGATATAAACGGTGTACGATGGTAGCGATTAAAATAGAGTAAAACACTTTTTGAAAGTAATTTGACACTTCAAATTAAGATTTATTGATTACATTGTTACGCCCGTAGGTGGCGAAAAGGGGCTGTTAAAATGCATTTGTCTTTGAATCATACAAGAGATTCGTTCAAGAACGCGGATTCATCCAATAATGAAACAAGTACATCTTGAGTGAGTCATTTAAATCATTAATTCATAAATTACATGTGATTGTTTAGTTGTCTAATGTTTTTTCTTCAGAATCATGAGAGAACTACAACTTCTATTGGGAACCCCCCCCCCAAAAAAAACTCAATTTATCCAGAATCATGCAGTTCTATTTTGCACACAAACAGCTCTTTAAGAGTCCATTTTATTTAGCCTGTTGATTTTTGTTCATTATTCAGCTCCAATAAATGGTTTGCAAAAAAAGAGACAGGATACATTTTTGATATCATTATTTAATCACATTGGAATCAAAAATGGGAATTGAAAAGAATCAGAATCTATAAGCTGAATTGATAAAATTTAAACAAAACCTTACTAGAAAGTTTAACGAACCGCATTTATTTAAAATTGACTTATTTTATAATAATGTAAACATCTTTACTAATCAATTTAATGCATCCTTCCTGAATTAAAGTATTAATTAAAACAAAAAATCTTACTGACCCCAAATTTGTTGAACAGTGCAGTATAGTCTTGTCCTGAGCAATGTGCAATGTAATCCCACTGAGCAAAACATTTGTATTTACTTGTTTGTGTCAAAAGGAAGACACGTGACTGATGCAAAGGTGTAATTAGTACTGGTGTGCCAGCTCAAAGCAAATATGTTCAATATGACTCATGACTTATTTGAGGGAGTCATCAAACGGGCAGTTGGTCTCTGCTCCCTAAGCATTAAGTAACAAACTTAATGTCAACATTATCCATGTATTCTATTCATTCATGGTTCATTACACAAGTACATTTTTAAATGAGATTTTGTGAAATACTTTATGTCGGAGCTTTAAAAATGTCTTTCTTGTGAGACTCCCTGAAGATATTACTAATAAATATCTTCTTCTCTGCCAAGCATCCTACAATCCCATGTGTATAATACATGATAAAATCATCAGAAGACTTTTCTTTCATAAATAGGCTTATCAACTTTTGAAAAAGGAGGAGAAAAAAAATAAATGGTAAATGTGTCTATTGTAATTCATCATAATATTAACACATTCCAAAGTTTGATTCTAAAGACATTTTTGCGTACAATAAACAATTTTGGTACAGTGATGTGTCATTCAAAAATGAAACCTTTGCCATCAATTACTCTCCCTCATGTCGTTCCAAACCTGTATAAGTTTCTTTATAATGTTGAACACAAAAGAAGATATTTTGAAGAACCAAACGGTTGTTGGTCCCCATTGACTTCCATAGTAGGGAAAGAAATACTATGGGGTCAATGGGGACCATCAACTGTTTGATTGCCAGCATTCTTCAAAATATATATATTTTTTTATGTTCAACAGAAGAAAGAAACTCATACATGTTTGGAACCTAGTTGAGAACCACTGACTTACACCAGTCCATCCAAGTAATCTTGACTCAATTAAATTGCTCTTAAAAATATTGGCACTCTCTTTAAAAGCCACTGTGAATATTTAATGGAGACACTGGGAATAAATGTAACCATGAGAGCATGAAACCTCCATTTCTCACTGTGATAGTTTTTTCTTCTCACACACACACACACACACACAAGTCTGGAGTAATATGCAATATATCAGGATATGAAGCCAGAGTCACAGAGCCAAGCTTACTTGGCATCATCTCTTCAAAGTACTCCAGGGAGCTATAAACCAGACTCTCAACTTTTCTGTGCTAAATGCAGCCTTTTTCTGTATTTTATTCATTTACAAAGGGGAGTTCAGAGAAATAACAACACAGCCCATGTATTTCCCCCCTTTCCACTGTAAAAATGCGCACTCAGCATGCTCCTCTGACCGTCAATGGTGTGACAGTGGAGAGGGTGAGCAGCACCAAGTTCCTGGGTGTGCACATCACAGAGGATCTCTCCTGGACTGACAATCTGCATTGCAGGTGATCCCACCCACCCGATACACAGCTTCTTCAGGCTGCTACCATCAGGGAGAAGACTGCGGAGTCTCCAGGCCAGGACCAGCAGACTGAAGGACAGCTTCATCCATCAGGCTGTCAGGAAGCTGAACTCCCTCCCGACCATGCCCCCCCTCCCCTCTTTTGCCCCACGCACCACTGAACTCTGACGGACTCCCCCCCAAATACACACACACACACAGTCACTTTAATCAGTCTGAATAAGCGCTTTTGCACTACAATCATTATATCTGCACTGTTGTTTACTTTACTTGTTTGCACACTGCCATATGCCTTGTGCTTTATATATATACAGTGGGGAAAAAAAGTATTTAGTCAGCCACCAATTGTGCAAGTTCTCCCACTTAAAAAGATGAGAGAGGCCTGTAATTTTCATCATAGGTATACTTTTTTTTTTACATTTTACCTTATTTGTATATTTGTATTTAATCTGTATCTATCTGTATTTATGTTCTACTGTAGTGTTATCTGTATGCACCAAGGGTCTGAGAGTAATGCAATTTCAATTCTCTGTGTGTATGTGCTGTACATGTGGAAGAATTGACAATAAAGCAGACTTGACTTGACAGCATGTTCACAGCCACGATAAAAAGAAAATAGTGAATGACACAGGACTGGACTTTTCTATTATTCTTCTACATTCAGCAGTTTAGCCTGAGAAAACAAGCATAAATATGGAAGGGGAAGTACAAATGGCAGTAAAGTTTCATCAGGTGTCAAGAGGATTTGGTTTTCTATTCAGCAGTTTCACGAGTCACATTCACAAAACGTACTGCAGCAGCCTTTCGAACCCTCAGCCATAACAGCCAAAATACATGAACAAACACACACACACACAGGCTTGTGTGTGAATGCGTTTATGGTGTTGGGGTTGCAGGAAGTAGTGTTGCCATCTGGAAGCTGAATTACCCTGTCATCTCTGTTCTTTACTAATCTCTACAGTCGCTGTCAGCTGGACTGTAACTCAACTGTGTAGATGTCACCCATTCTCTGGTCAATCACAACATCCCCTCCATAATACAATGATGGCATGCTGCCCCATTGCATACAATAGACAAAAGCTGTCCTATCCTAGGCTTTTTAGCACAACACAAAGGGGCATCTGAACACACCCAAGCAAGCTTTACACTGCTGATGTTAGATACTTACTATAGATCATATGACCAGAAATTTAATCCAGGATAATCACTATAGACTTCCTCCAGCAAGTGTTCTTTGACCATTATTTATTTGACAAAGAACTCCACAGTACTTCAGCATGCTTTTTACACATGTATAGGGTGTTCAACAAAACAATTTACTCATTTTTGTGTATTATCATGTTGTCAATCAATGAACAGTCGGTGCTGAAATATCCATCTAAAAGTTTGAACTCAATATCCTTATATGATTTTTCTATGTAATTATGAAGAAAATAAATAGACACTTCAAACCTTTAAAAAAAAATCATACTGACCCCAAACTTTTAAATGGTAGTACATCTATTTTAACAGCTGATATCAAATTACACTCAAGTTAAATTGATTTTGTTCAAGAAATGAGTAGCATACATGGTGTCATAGCAGACTGAATATTAAAGAAATACCCTTTCATTTGGTTGATTTAAAGACCACAAGTGAACAGGGATTTCCTGCACACACCTACATCACCCTGCTGGGTATTCTGGCTTTTGCCCAATAATACGGCAAATACACGTCATGGCAAAAAATAAACAAATACATAAAAAAAATATATAAATATATATATATATATATATATACACACACACACACACACACATACATACATACATACAGTGGTGTGAAAAAGTGTTGGCCCCCTTCCTGATTTTTTATTTTTTTGCATGTTTGTCACACTTTAATGTTTCAGATCATCAAACAAATTTAAATATTAGTCAAAGATAGCACAAGAA